GTAATAAGTCAATCGAGCAGTCATAGGGACGATGAGGAGGAAGAGACAAGGCGCGTTGCTTGCTAAAGACTGCCGCTAGGTCGCGGTATTCAGCAGGAACAGAGATGAGGTCGATCTCCTCTATAGGAGGCGTGTCCCGAGGGAACTCTTTAATAGCGAAGCGAAGACAGTTACTGAGATACTTGTCGCTCCATTTGTCAACGCAGCCGCGCTCCCAATTAATAACTGGGTTATGGTTTTGAAGCCAGGGGATACTTAAAATTATTTGGGGCGTACGAGAGTTAAACACAAAGAAATCGGTCATTTCATGATGATTTCCTGAGATTATGACATGCAAATCGGTAGTTTTAAGGTTTATACGAGTCAAAGTGTCTCCGGTTAGGCCGGCGACAGAAATCGGAGGAATCTCACGAGTGGGCAAAGAATGTTCTCCAACTAAATCAGCACTAATCAGGTTTTGTTCAGCACCCGAGTCGATGAGAGCAGAAAACGAAAAGCGATGGTCAGGTGTCTGAATGACCATGGGAAGCAACAGTTTAAATGGGGAGGTTAACGCAGAAGTTCCCACCAGTAACTCCCGCTTTACTGGTGGAAGCTCTTGTTTTCCCCGAAACGGACAGTGGGGCAGAAAATGACCGGGGTTGCCACAATAAATGCAGAGACGGGCGGATACACGCCGCTGTCTCTCTGCAGGAGTCAGCCGTGCGCGCCCCACCTGCATAGACTCGGGAGAGCGATCCCGTGGAGGAAAAGAAGATGATTGGTTGAAACCAGGAAGCCTGGAGGACTGGGAGTTGTAGTTCAAGGGGGATTGCTTGGGTGAAACGGACTCGTGGCGAGGGGTCGTGAACACGGAAGTGGGAGGATTCTGGGAAGCGTAGTACAAAGGTGCAGACTTGGGCTCACCTGGAGAAGTCGGAAACCCGGAAGCCGGGGATCGATGGGAATTGTAGTTTGCCTCTCTCCTCCTTTCCCGGAAACGGTCATCGATGGAGATGGCAAGGTCTATTAACTTGTCGAAAGTCTCGGGCTCGTCTCGCATGGCCATCTGGTCTTTGAGAAAATCAGACAAGGAGTTTAAGAAAATACCTTGGAGGGCAGGCTCGTCCCATCCTGTTTGGGAAGCAAGAATCCGAAACTCCAGGGCGAACTCCGAAGCGTTACGACAGCCTTGTCGTAAATTCAACAAACGCTTGGCGGCGTTCGACGTCTGCAGGGGGCGATCAAAAATCCTACGAAACTCATGCAGAAATAGTTCATAGGTTGCAGAGGGATTTTCATGGCTCAGGAGAAATGAGTGAGCCCACCGGAGAGCGTTACCTTTGAGCTGACTTACGAAAAAGGTGATCATGGCCGCGTCCGAGGAGAACTGAGAAGGAGCTGCCTCAAAGGCGAGTCTGCACTGCAACAAGAAGCCGCCACATTGGTCAGGGTCTCCGGTGAAGAAGTCAGAAGGTTTAATTAACATTTGTTGAACAGGAGGAATGGAGCCAGGGGCCACGGGGGCTGGCGGAACGACTGGAGCCAAGGAGGCAGAAGCTTGAAGTTGACGTTTAATGGAATAAATCATACCTCCGAGCTCCTGAAGGTTGGACTGGACCGTGGTCTGGTGAGTCAGTACTTGTCGTAAAAATCTTTCCAACCCATCGATCCATTTCTCCTGGGAACCGGGGGTTGTCTGCTCGCTCTTGGTCTCATTCTGGGTCTTTTGTGGCTGGAGCATTTCTGTTACGGTTACGCGGGGAACCCAGATGGTATGAGACCCAGAACGAGGCAGACACAGGGGAAGTACAAAAAGAACAGTGTTTATTATTTACAGTGAATGTCCACACGCTGGTTCTCAGCAACTCCTGGAAAGAGGGACGACAGGTTAATGTTGGTCCAGAGGGGAAGACCTGAGTGGTTTGTTTGAAGGAGGTTCTCTTGTCCTTACAGTCCAAACCCGAAGGAGGGGAGCTGGTCCTTCAGTCCAAGGAGTGAACCGCAGAGGAGAATCCAACGAGGGTCCAAGGGAACGAGGAAGGCTGGCAACTGGAGACAAAAATGGCACGAGGGATACCTGACGGGCCGAGGGATCCAGATCAGGTCACGAGGAGATCCAAAAGCACGAGGAACCAGGAAACTGGAAAAGAGAACACAGGTGAACAAATTCTTTTCACCTAGACATATCTAGCTCAACAGTACTATACCATGAGAGGTGATATGTTCCAGCGATGAGTCACACTGGGCTGCAGCCTTTTGTAAATGGAGAGGCTCATCAGGCTGATGACAGCCAGGTGTTGTTAATCAGCGGCCATCAGCAAGGCAGGCTGCAGGCAGTGGGACCCTTACATAAACTACCAGAAGGCAGTGAAAAGAGCTGAATGCTGCTCATAAAATGAAGAATAAACTAAAAAAGCTCAGTTTAGCGTAAAACAGTAAATAGTAGCTGAAATTACAGAAAAAGCTGAAACTAGCAGAAAAAAGCTGAAAGGAACAGAAGTTGAAATTAGTAGGAACAAGTTAATCAGGCTGAAAGTAAAAGAAATTAGCATGAAAATGTTGAATTTATCTGAAAACAGCTCTCGATCTACCCAGCCGAGTTACCACCCGAGTTATGGATAAACCTTACTGTAGCCTCTCCTCTAAGGGGTATAATGAACTAAACCTATGGCCTGAATATTACCCAGAGTTACTACAGGTTAGTTCTTCTTAGGCTGTGTTGAAGGTGACTCACCCAGATTTGTTAATGACCTCCATCTGTGAGCCACACCCTTATCTCACCCCGTGACTCGCCCAACCTAGCAGCTGGGGTTGGATCGTCGTCCACAGGGAAACTCGTATTAATAGCCGTTCACCTTCGTTGGAGAAAAGCTATTCTTACTGATCTGGTTCTTTTTAGAATCCAGGGACAGGATTCCAGAATGTTGTTTAATTACTCACAGCTGAGAAACCCTTTAAAAACCTCCTTCTTTAATTAGAGTTGAACCAAGCTTCTTAAATCCATGAACACGAAGTAATGAAATGATAGTCCAGATTTTTATGTTTTATGCTTTGCTTTAATTAATGATTTGCAGGGGAATGGTGTTATGCACAATCCAAAAATTATTAAATTTGGTTATATAGTGAAATAAGTAATAAAGAGTCCATACGTTGCTTGAAGGAGAACTCTGTTAATTGCTTTCGGTGTTCAAAGGATTTGAATTCCACTAAAGTGTTGATTTCCTTGCTCCGATGAGCTTTGATGGAGTGTAACGGGACCTTAAAGTTCTTGGGACGTTCTTATAATATTTTCTTCTGTCTCTGAATAAATCTTTGGTTAGAAGGCAAGTAAAATTCCATTCCAGAGCTCTGGAAAAATGTGCCCCTCACTCACAAAGCTGTCCTGATTTGAAAAAGGTCTGGTTTGGCTATAACCCAGGCTGAAACAAAAGAGATGCTCTTATCTTGACTAAAAAGGAGCTCTTTTCAGGTTGTCCAAATCTCTTTCAGTAGCTTTAAGAGCAGGTCC